GCCGCACGTCAGTGGCTCATTTGCATGCAATTATTTTGCTTCTTTCCGATGGAAAAACTTCACCCCTTGTGGGTGGTGGGCGGATATCGGGGATATAGACAAATTGTGACATGTACTTCAGTTTCAGTTACAATATTGATGTATTTTCGCCTTGTAATTTCTCATTCATCTTCAATGGGCATTTAATCAAGCTGTGAATTCGACCCACCCAAACTTCAATGACAAATGCATGCGACCATAAAGAAAATGTAGAAAAGAAATAATCAAGTCCAAGATAAGGATGATAAAAAAAAAAATGGTAAATGAAATGAAATTACTGAACAGCAAAATGGGATGTGGAAAGGGCTGTGTTGGGAATCGAGGGGGAAAAAATGCAAATGGTGAAATTTTAAACCCTTGAATGGGCCCGCCATTGTCTTTGATAGTCGGCGGGAAACCCGGGAAAGCGGTCCATGGGGTGTGGAAAAAAAATACTATAGAATGGTATGGTATGGGGGTAGCATCCTGGGTTGCCCATTTGCCAACTGGGCTGTAAGTAAGCGCATTTTTCCCGATTTTTTTATTTGTCAGCCTCTGCTGTTGTTTTTCTTGTTGTTGCTGCTGCCCTTCCTTCCGCTCATTTGTCTCTGCATGAAAATGCCCGCGATTTTCTCCTTTCTATGTGTATGTGTAATTTCTTTTTTTTTTTGGTTGTGCTTTTAATTGTATTTAGTTACATTAGTAATTATCGATTTTTCCACAGCTTGGGTTTGTAGCTAGGATCATTGGTTGGGTACTGTACTTGATGTCGAATGACAGGAAGGGCTTAAGTACGCCTAGATTGTTTGGGGAAAATAAGGGGATTAATGGAATACTTTTTTAAAAAGGTTCCTATTTTTGGTAGAAAAAATGTAGAAGCAGATAAATATGAACAGGAAATTATCTATAAATGCTAAGGTTTTTCAAGGATTATTAGGCAGCTAAATAATGATTACTATATAACAGACCAAAAATGTTTATAGCACATAATAATACTCCCAATAATTGTCATTTTAAATAATTAAAAAAAATTAAATAACAAGTACAAACACTTATCATATTTATTTTATTTATCTGATTATAAAATACTTAATAGTATTTTAGATTAACCTGAACAAACAAACAGCTTTAGGATTTAGCATTTAAAATGTGCAAGATATTTTCCTAAGTTTCTTACACAAAGTTAATGATGAGATATAAATGTAGGAAACGTTACAATGCAAACCAAATAATTTTTAATGTAGTACATACATTTTACTTGAATTTAATGATAATATATAGATGTAGAAAACGTTTCAGTTCATACATAATATTATTTAATGTAATAATTTCAACTTTGTTAGCAAAATAGTGCTTTTTAATGTCAAAAAATTCAAGAAATTTATTCCTATTGAACTTAAAAGAATGTTAAATTACTCCTTTGAGCACTTCTCAATAGGAAAAGGGGGACATCTTAATATCCTGCTATTAATTAACGACCAGAAAGTGTCTTCTCCTTTGCATTTATGGCCGCATCGATGCCCCTTCGAACGTGCTCCATTTATGGTTTAGACAGATTTGGCTTCTTTGATCAAGGTTTTTGCATTTCACCCCCATCCAACTACCTTTCCTTCCTGTGCGATTCTTGTTCACTAACCATTTGAAGCCATTTTTTTGTGTGTGTGTGTTTTTTTTTTTGCAGTTCATGTGCTTGTTACTCTGGTTGTCAGCCGGTCTCGCTTTTCAATTATGCCCCACTGGTCCTGGTCTCCAGTTTTTTTCTTACTCCAGGGAGCTGCTGAGCTCAAGCGAACCGAACTCAACTAGCCATTGTGCCATTTAAGCTATATATCACTCATACGCAGCATTGGCGCTTTATTTTCATGCACTAATTGCGTTAGAATTTCAATAGGAATAGCAGAGATATAGCCAAGCAAAACCTCCCTTTTCTCGGAGCTCTCTCTCTCTGTGATTTGACTTTAGCACATGAAGAGTTTTTAATTGGAATTTGCAGTGGGAGATTATCAAAACCAGGCGATGGGGCAGTGATTTTTCTTTGCTCTTCTCCTTTGATTTTTTTTCCCGGATTTCGATTTTTTTTTTGTTTTTCGGGGGGTAGAGCAACTCTTAGATACATACATATATATACCTGCCCAATGCCAATTTTTTTCTTCAACTTGCTTGCCAAGACTTCTTTGCCACGCAGCCTTTTTTCCAGGGTTTTTTTTTATGGGTGTGTGTGTATTGCTTTACATAAGACCCGGACAGTCCGGAGAAGTCCGAGGTCCGTAGTCCGTAGTCCAAAGTCCGGGTGTGCCCTCACGGCCATTAGAGAGCTCTGTGCTCTGTCGTTGTCGTAATTAAAAACAAGGAAAATTCTGCACACAGAAAGAAAAAAATGGGGCCAAGGAGGTGGCCAGCGGATTGGTCTTTGGGATTGGGATTGGGTCTGGGTCGCCTTCGCCTTCGGTTTCTTGGCTCACCTTCCAACCCTTTTTTTTCCGCAATTTATTTAAATTTTCTTTGCCGAACTCTCTTTGCGCTCCTTCTTAATTTCTTCAGCCCTTTTCTTTTGTACTTGTTGTTTTTAATAAAGTGCGCTGAAGAGAAAGCAAAAAAAAATGTAGAAGAAAAGGTTCAAGAAAAAAGTTGCGTAAATTTTGTTATGTACTTTTTTTCTTTTTAAATAAATAAATATAGGGGGGTAGAGGTTCGAGTCTTCTTGGCGTTGATGAGCAGAGCGACCACAGCCGCTTGCACCACCCCCACCCTCTCATATATAGCCGAGCAATCATGCATCCTTTCCTTTCCGCTGCACCCCATCCTCTTGGCCTGTAGTTCCGTTTCCGGCGCCTGCCATTTGCATCTACAGCTCGCAAAAAAAAAGAAGAAAAAATTCTTTCATTTATTCGAAGGATTCTTCATCTCCTCCAGTACCACCACCAAACCAACCCATCTCTTTGTGATTTCTTTTTTTTCTGCTGTCGAAGAAGAAAAGATTTTTTCCTCTTTTTTAAAAAAAACACACAAACTGGACGTCGACGACGACGACGTCGACGGGTTGGGCAGCATTTCTTTGCGGCTTGAGCGAACCGAAAGAACGGGTACACAAATTTCAACCTACTCAATTTTTGCCTTAATTTCTTTTCTGTTTCGCCAGGAGACCTCGGGCCACCGGAGCCCCCCATACCCATACCCGAACCCACACCCATCCATCCGCCATCCACCATCCTCCCAAATCCTCCCCAGCTTCAACCTACCTACCTACCTCGAACCTCCAACCTCTTTGCAAAAGGCGGTAATAAGAATTTTTTCTTCGCTGCCGGAGTGTGCGTGAGCCGTAGTGTTTTTTCCGTATTTTTAATTTAAAATGCGAGGCATGGAAAAAAATATATATGTATATGTATGTATGTATAAAAATTGTAAGATGGGTAAGGGAGTGGGGGGAGGGGCTTTTGCGCACTGCTTAAAAGAAAAACTTCTGAAGTAAATATTTGTCTGTCCAATTGCTGCGGCGACTGCCAACTGCAGCGGATTGGGTTTGGAAAGTGAGGGGGGGGGGGGGGGGTTTGGAAATGAGGGTGGCAGTGGGTGATATAGGGTTTTGGGTTTTTTTGGTGTGTGGGCGTTGTCGTTGGCGATGGCGAAAGTGTTGTTCTTGTTGTTGTTGTTGTTGGACGGGTTGGGCAACGGACACTGGTGACCGACCATGCCAAGACAAGCGACGCCGTAATGACTGTCACAGCGCTCCGTGGACAAACACGAGACACCACCTCCATTTCCATCTCAAACCCCCCTCCCCAACCAACCAACATCCAAAAAAAAAAAGAAATGGAAACAAATTTCCATCACCTAAGCTCTGTTATGTATTCCCCCGGGCGACCGTCTCTCTGTCGGAATGGGTGCGGCACTTTGGAACTCTTTCAACTATCCGATATATAGGCTATTTTTCAATCAAATCACCGCATTCCATATTCAATGTGTGTAAATTGCCCAGGGAAACGCACACACACACACTCTGTTCAGCCTTGGGGATAAAAAAGCTGAGGTGATGCATACGATTATATCCTTGAAACACGCTGCAACAACTACTAGCCATTGTATCCCAAATCATATGAGTTGTATAAAACCCAAATTTGAATTGGTTATGAAACAAAGGTTTTTAAAAGAGCTGTTATAAGAATTCTTTTGAAACGTGACTACTTCAATCGCATAAAGATTACATTCGGTGATTTATTATGATTAAATATCAGTTTAAATAAGATTTTTAAAAGGGTCGAGTTGGAATTTCTCTTATTTTGGGTTACAAAATAACTAACAACAGGAAACAGTTTTCAAATAGAGCAAATCGAATGTTAATCAGTTTTTATGAAGGTAGAAAAAGTAATAAAACATAAGGAGCACGGAAAGTTAAACCCCAATGTGAACCTCAACATTTTAATTTCCTCATCAAAACTAGATCCTTCCCATTTGTTTTTTTTTTGGTTTAGCTTGCGTTGGGATACTTTAGTTGATTCTTCTTTAAAAATCATTTTACCAGCTTTGAGAAAAATTTTAAAAATAAAGTGGTTTAAAACTGGGACTTTAAAAATGTAAAAAAAGGATCAAATCCACTTCAGTTTTAAATCCACTTCAGTTTTAAATCCACTTCAGTTTTAAATTCAAAGAACCATAAATGTTGTATTGATTAAAAAATATGCAAATCGAAAGGTTAAATAAATACATACATATTACAAGATTTAAACACCAATTTTGATGTTTAAAAAGATGATTTTATGCTCTATAAAGTTAATATTGATACTTTATAGTTATCAACAATGTAGCGCAATCACTAGATAGCTTTTTTACACTTGCAATTTTAATAAGAAAATCGGTTTATATATTTATTGTTGGGCCAAGGACATAAGAACAATCGATTTGTAAATGGAAACTGTACAGAAAAAGTTCCCAACCATATTGTTGAACAAATGACTAATTGCGTTTATCCCCCTTTTTTCTTACAGGGCCTCTTGCGCACCGCCGAGCAGCTAAAGATCAAAGGCCTCTGCGAAACCGCCGAGAATGCGGATGACCTGAACGACGCTGCCACAGCAACGATCACAGTTTCGGAGAACATTCAGCAGGCGGTCGTTGGTAATATCGTAAACGCCACCATAGTTCCGGGAGCACCATCGCCCTCCTTGGAACAGCAGCAGCAGCAGCAACACCACCAGCAACAGCAGGCACAGGAGCAGCATCAGCAGCAGCAACAGCAGCAGGTGCATGCCCAGCAGCAACAGCAGCAGCAACAAATCCACGCTGCCCTGCTGACGCAACACGGAGTGGCCAGCGGAAGTGTTTCCCTGTCCGGTCAATTGCTTAGCTCCTCGGCCAGCGGCAGCAGCGGAAGTTCAGCCGGCGGACAGCAGGCTCCACAGACGCCAACATCCGGTTTGCAGCCGACGCCGCGCAAGCCTCGACTAAAGCGTTCCAAATCCCCGGATCTGCCATCGGGCGGAGGAGGAGCAGGAAGCTCTGGTGGTGGCTCAAGTAGCAGCTCATCGCAGCAGCAGCAACCGCAACCGGCGCACCACCACCAGCACCACCCGCAGACAATCCTGATCCAGGGCCAAAATCCGAACTCTATTGTGAGCCTTCAGCAGACGGCCGACGGCAATTATATACCAGTGTCGGCCAGTGGCGACGATTCCGACGTCGAGGATCACGACCACGATCACGAGCACGAACACGGCCACGGAGGACATCAGCACGGAGGACACGGTCACGGCCACGATCACGAGCACGATCACGAGCACAGTCACGACCACGATCACGAGAGTAAGCCGAATAAGATCTGCAAGACCGAGCAGTCGGTGGCCTCGCCGGCGTCCAATTCATCCAGCGGCTCGAACAATGCAGCGGGCGTGAGCGGCGTGACATCCACCGGCCAAGCCATCGTCACACAAATTGTAGTAGCGCGCGACGGAAAAGATACAAAAAATATGACTAGTTTAGGCATGGGCATGGTAAGTTGGTTAGCTAGTTTGTTTTTGGTTTATAGTTAGCACTGTCAGCTTTCTCTCAGTTAGCCAAGAGATCGATTGATTGAAGATCGAATCTCCACGGGTATAATGAACATGATCTTTGCTAACCTGACATTCCTATCTCTCTCTCCCAACCCCCAAAAAAACTTGGATTGCCTGCAGAACGGCGGCCTGTTGGGCGTGCCCATGGGATTCCTGGACTTCACACCCGAGCCACCAGCACCATCTGCCACCCCAGTCACCGTTACGGAGCACGTCGATCTGTCCTGCAACCCCAGCACGGACACGCGCGATCTATCAAGTGAGTTATTATCGGTAGTGTAGCCAGCGGGTATACGCGGTACCTATTCTTTTAGAGGCCCCCCAACTAACATGGTTTTATATTCTGCTTTTTCCCCCAAAACAGATCCCACCGAACCGCTCGATATAGACAATCATCTGGCTCAGCAGATCCATCGGCTCGATCAGTCCCCCATGCACTCGATATCTCATCACCATACCGGCGATGAGAGCAACTCGAATCTGGTGCAGCACATCAAAAGCGAGGTTATCGAGGCAAAGCACCTGGCGGCTGCCCAGCAGCATGCACTTAGCCAGCAGCAACATGCCCATCACCAGGCCCACCAGCAACAGCAGCAGCAGCAGCAACACCAACAGCATCAGCAGCAACAGCAGCAGCAACAACAGCAGCAACATCAACATCTCCATGCACAGCAACTGTTGGCCCAGAGTCAGTTGCAGCAGCAACAGCAGCAGCAACACCATCAGCAGCAACAACAGGCAGCCGCAGCGGCAGCAGCAGCAGCTGGAGTGCATGGCCAGCATGGGGGACATGTGACGCATGCCGATATCGGCGGTGCCACAGTCATGGAGATTGATCCGAGCCAGATTAAACACGAGCCGGGCATGATAATAACGCCAGAGATTGTCAACATGATGTCCTCAGGGCATATGGGTGAGTTGTGGGTCAGAAAATTGGTATTATCAGGGAGTTCTTAACTTTTAAAACCAAGAACATTCGATTTGCTTTATGTAACTTGGTTTATTAATTCGTATTTAGTATATCCAACGCATATGTGGTATAAGAAATGGATTAATTCTATCCTTTCATTTTTCCCAAGACCCGTAGTGGTTAAAATACCACTTTGGATCAGTCTAAATGTATCAATCCTATTCAAATCCTATTCGAACTGCTAAAGTTTTTCGAAATCTAGAATCCTGTGAAAATATAAAATTAAAATAGGTTATAAATTATAAAAACTCCTCTATGCTTAAAACCTATCTTTATTTTACTATGAGAATGAAAACAAATGGATTTAACTAAATCTGAATCCTTTATACAATATTTATATAAATAAACTAGAATTCCGGAACTTCATTCCTTACCTAAACAAACCTTTATATAAAATTGCACCCTATATTTTAATTATAATTATAATGATTAATTAAATCAATGTATACTCATAACCCATTTCTTGCCCATTTGCAGACATGTACAACTCGGACACGAGCGAGGATTCGATGATGATCGCCAATGGCTCGCCGCACGATCAGAAGGAGCCGCACTATACGAATTTGGATCAGCAGCACGGTATGGGTGGCAGCGTTTGCGGCCCGGGGCCGGGAGGTGCTGGTGGTGGTGGGGGCATGAGTGGTGGGGCTGGCTCTGGCTCTGGCGAGAAAGGTCAGTTTAATGGTCCCAAAGCTTGGACACAAGATGATATGAATTCAGCTTTAGATGCATTAAAGAACCAAAACATGAGCCTGACGAAAGCGTCCGCCATTTATGGCATCCCATCGACCACCCTGTGGCAACGTGCTCATCGTTTGGGCATCGAAACGCCCAAGAAGGAGGGCGGCACCAAGTCGTGGAACGAGGATGCCCTGCAGAATGCCTTGGAGGCGCTGCGTTCGGGTCAGATATCCGCGAACAAAGCATCAAAGGCCTTCGGCATCCCCTCCTCGACGCTCTACAAGATTGCCCGGCGCGAGGGCATCCGCCTTGCGGCGCCGTTCAATGCCGCCCCAACCACGTGGACGCCCGAGGATCTGGAGCGTGCCTTGGAGGCGATACGGGCGGGTAATACATCGGTGCAGAAGGCCAGCGCTGAGTTTGGCATACCCACAGGTGAGTTGTCTGAGAATCCAGTTGGAGATCGAGTTTTGGTGCTTTTACTTCGATTCTCGAAAGATGGTTAGGAGAAAAAAACGGGGGAAATACTAATATATTATAATAGGAAAAAAAAAGATAAGTTTAAAAGGGTCTATGAGTCATGAATAACCTTTCTTTCTCAAACAACTCTAAGTACTTGGTATTAGAAAAATACCTTAATAAATATCTTATATTACATGATCTGTTCTGTCTGAAATAAATGTATAGACACTTAATCCTCTTATAACTAAAATTCAATCTCAAAAAACATTTTTGAACTTCATTCAAATACTCGGTATTCCACAAAATACCCTAATAAATGTTGTAATTGATAAAGAAAATATTGTTGTTTTCATATGATGTTATGAAACCCAACATGCAATCTCATAAAGTATTTATAGACTTCCTTGAAGTACAAGGTATTGGGAAAATACCTTAATAAATGTCCTACATGATAGATAGCCAGGATTTTCTTTATGATCTTTTCCTTTTGAAATAAATCTACAGACCCTTAAACCTTTTATACCCGAAAAGCGATCTCATTAAATATTTTCAAATATCCTTCAAGTACTTCGTATTTGAAAAGTATCATAGCAAATATTCTATATGATAAAAAACTATTTTTTTTTATATGATCCATTTGTTCAGATACAAATTTAACGACGCTCAGCCCCTTTGTACCTGAAAAATAATCTGAAAAAGTACTTTCGAACTTCCCCAAGCACTTTTGCTTCTAAAAAAGTGCTCTTAACTTCGTCCCTTTCTCCCTTTCCCCCTCTGATCTGATTTTGCTGTGACTAATTCCACTCTTCCACTCCATCAAACGGCTCAAAGGAACACTTTACGGACGCTGCAAACGGGAGGGCATTGAGCTGTCGCGTTCGAATCCAACGCCCTGGTCCGAGGATGCCATGAACGAGGCCCTGAACTCAGTGCGGTGAGTGTGTGCACGCAGTGTGTGCGACGAACTAGTGGCGTCAATTAAGTCGCTAATCACCATTTCCGACGTATATCCCCCACAGCGTTGGCCAAATGTCCATCAACCAGGCGGCCATTCACTATAACCTGCCCTACAGCTCGCTCTACGGCCGCTTCAAGCGGGGCAAATACGACGTGGTGGCCAACACGAGTGGCGTGGCGCTGCTCAACACCTCGGGCAACACCACTGGCAGCATTGAGATTATCGAGCACAGTCAGGAGAATTCGGTACGTAGCCACGTGTCGGTTGAAAAGCTAAAAGCCGGCTTCAAACCAGTCCACCAACTCAGAACTTTAGGTCTCCAAAAGGCACTCAGATTTAAACTGAGCCTAAATCAAGTTTTTTTTTTTGCTTAAATTATATGATTTTAAGTTTTTTTTGGGGTTACTTAAGTTGTATTTAGTCGGAAAATGATTTTTTTGTTAATAATTGCCAAAGTTTTTATTCATTTATAATATTTTTTTCGATCCAATCATGTTGATCGATTTGTTGTTGATTTGGGCAATTTATTTTGTTTAGTTATACACGAAAAAAATATTTAAAGACATGTTGTTTTCCATTGTGGTCTTCAATAAAATTTAAATAAATGGTTCTTAGTAAAAATATTTTCTTTTATAAATTGAAAGATTATTTTCTTTTGAATATTCAACATGTAATGTTTTTTTTTAAGGTTTAATGTTAATTTAAAATGCAAAATCAATTTAAATTCATCTCTTTAATCAAGTTATTTACGATTAATTATTTTTTTTATTTAACCTACTTCATTTGGGTTGTTTATAAAACCTTAGAGCGAAAGGATGCTAATGCAATTAACCACTGCGCCATGGAATTTATTTTCCCATCCAAACCCTTTTCATTTTCCGATCCCCCACGCAAACATTACACACAAATGCCAGCTTTGACTAACCGAGATAATCAATTTATTTATGCAAAGTTGCATATGTTACAGCAACAGTTCCCGTACAGCCCATCGCCGCATCCGCCAACGCCGCAGCACCACAGCACGCCGCAGCATCACAGTACGCCGCAGCAGGGGCCGCCTACGCCCCAGCACATGCAGCAGCACGTAGTACACATGCAACAGCAACAGCAGCAGCAGCAGTCGCCCCATCCGGGCCACCATCCGCAGCACATGCAGCAGGATGTGGTCACATCGAGCAGTCAGGTGGTGCACAGCCAACAGCAGCAGCAGCAGCAACAGCAGCAGCTTCAGCAGATCTATCAGCACCACGGGACGCCGGAGCGTAGTTGAGAATCACTGCATGCTGCGGCAATAATGGGCAGCACCGGCGGTGGAGGCGGAGGAGGTGGTGGACCAGGAGTAGGAGTTGGAGTAGGAGGAGGAGCCAGCTCTAGTGGCAGCACGGCGGCCAGTAGCACACCCTTTGCCAGCATATCGGCGCTGGTCAGCGGACCGTCTAGTGCCCCACCACCACCGCCGGTGGCGGCCAGTGGCTCGTCGGCGTCAGTCAGCGGCGGCACCAGCAAGCGCAAGAAAGCCAACAAGCAAAAGCGTTGAGAGCAGGAGGAGCAGGATCAGCCACAACATGGCTTGGAAACAATCGCCGGAGTGGCCAGGCCCGAGGACATCAAGTTTAGATTTAATTGCAAGCACTGGAAGCGCAAGCTGCGTCAGTTTCATTTGCTATTGTCCAAACAGCAGTAGTCAGTCAGTCAGTTAGAAAGATATACCACATTTATAAATGACCCGCAGACAAAAAATTCCCAAGGGTGTAGGACAAAGCAATCACAAAAAAAAAAAACAAAAAACGTAAAAACAAAAAAGAAAAAACCCTTTTGAACTAGATGGACATTAATTACACAACCGAGATGTGTATAAAATGTAAATATATAACGAAATATGCTTTATCTACATTATACGGAACATAGTTATATTAGGTATTAGGTTTGCAAAAGTCCTTTGTTCTAGCCAAGTAAGTTGAAGCAGAGAGAGTAGAAGATAAACAACACATACTTAGATCGTAAGAGAAAAATGAATTTTAGATTTGCCTAGACTCGAAAGATAAATGGATTCGTTTTGGGCTCGCGGTTTTAAGAGCACTTTGTTATCAATGGACATGGACACGCGTATATATTTTATTGGACTCGTGACCATTGCTGAGAACCTTGAACTAATAGGAGCTAATAGTGGGCCCCCCCCCCCTTCTGCGTTTTTGTTATAATTTTCGCTTAGTGTGAGACTGAAAGTGCGCCTAAAACTGTAGAAATCCAAGCCCAGAACTATAGTGAACACACGCATACAACACACAACCCATACATGAATCAAATGCTTTATAACCATATATTGTTTGAACGGAGAGAACGAAGGGGAGAATACCTTAATGTAGAATTAAACCAAATTATCAAGGTCCTAGAAATTAAACTCATTAGCTTGTAATGACAACAGCAAACAAAACAGATCAGAAAGGATGGAGAAAACCAGAGTTATTTGAATTTAACTGGAGGCGCCCTGAATCAACCAATATTAATTTGATTTCAACTGAATTAAGAGTATAGCCAATACATTGTAATACATAGTAATGAAGTAATTGCAAGGAAAGAACACATGGAATGTATTTTTGATAGAACCAGAAACATAAAAACAGAAGCAGCCGAAATTACCGAATCAAACTGCAAATGTTGTTAATGTTAAGCTCTAAATCTAAATAATGTCCTTTCGAAATCGCATTCAAAACAAAGATTTATAGCAAGCTTGTAAGAGAAATCAACCAATAAATACACACGTATATATATGGATACAAAAAACACCTCTAAGTGAACTGTAAAACGTGTTAGTATAGTAATAATAAACCTTTCCTTCTTTAAAGAACCCCTTATTCAAGCGACTTTGGTTGCCCCCTCTGCCCCAAAAAGGAAGTAGACCTAATTGTATCTGTAACGAAAATCGGAAATAAAATCTACAAGGAGTAACAAATTATATTAGAAATTTGGAATTATAAATTTAAAAAAAGAAAAAAATGTATAATAGCTTCCACTAGCGTATCTACATATTTAGGAATCGAGGAAACGGATACTGTAAACACCCATCTGAAGTAACTTCAACTATTTTTGGTTTCATTCTTATTATACGTGTGCGGAGAACACCTGGAAATCTTTGTAAATACATTTGAATAGTTTCTTTAGTTGTTAGTTGACTTAGGGGAACAGGTATCTGAAAATTACAAAAATCAAATGTTGCAAATTAATTTATTTTAGCGTTATAGACCCGTAGAACTGAATGCAATATGCTTACCTTAAACTCAACATAATTTAATTCTATTCCTATTATCTTTAGTTGGATTCATTTTAATGTTTTATAGCAAAACTGTATATCATTGTAAATTAAATAAAGCATACGAAGTAGCATCTACAAGAGTTAAATCAACAATAAAACAAAAAATATCATTATAACATTGTTAAAATTGTCGCAAGAGCAATTAAAAAATGAACCCAGCAACTTGAAGAAGAATCGAAAATGAAGGCGAATCACAGAAGCGTAAAAATAATAAAATATTACATTTAAAATTTTAAGATAACTAAATGTGTAAGAGTAACCTTTAACCACACAATATTATAGCACATTTTGGATTATCAAATATGCATATACAGCAAAATATCTATTGTAAACGGTAAATGTAAACCCAAAAAGAAACACTGAAAACAATCTATGTAACAGACGAAATAGCGAAAACCCATGTAATAAACAAACAACATTTAATGTAATATTGGTATAACGTAATTTTTAAAGTGAGGTACTATAAATAAAAATTATTAAATAATATTAAACACCTTTCATTTCATCTGAAATGCTGTTTTATTGTCAAAAAGATTTCTTTTGGGACTGTTAATTGTTTCTCTTACTAGCAATACATTTTATTTTAAGGGGTTTCACGAATTAAGTAGGAAAGCAGACTTAATTTTGGCTCATAAAATAAATATCTATATTTTTGCGACGTCTAAAAAGTAATTTAATTATAAACAATTATATCACTTCGGATGGCCTATAATTTCTCTATATATATTATCAAATTAAAATTAACACCACAATTAAATTAAAAATGATACTATATACATACATAAATAATATTTTTTATATATTTATATCATATACCTATAAAATATTATTAGGTTTTGATCTGATAATTTAATTTATTTGGAGTTTGGATGCTATTTTTTTGCGCTTATGATTTAAATTTTGATTGTCTATGCTATCCGTGCTATAAAGCTTGGTCTCTTAACCTGATTATTTATATTATATCATATAATAAAAGTATAAATAAATATATATAGATATAATATAATATAATTAATCAGTTTAAGACTTACATCATATATATTATACTATGATATTTGGATTGGCAAGGTATGTAATGAGTTTTGATGGGTTATATTTGGCGGTTAATATTTAAATTTCGGTTATCTATGCTATCCATGCTATAAAGCTCGGTCTCTAAACCTGATTAATTATATTATATTATATTTATATTATAATAATATTATATTAATATTATATATAAAATGCTTTGTTTGGACTTGGAAGGTTTATTAATTTCTGTGGAGTTAGGATGGGTTTCCTTTTGGAGGTCATGATTAAAATTTCGATTATCTACGCTATCCGTGCTACAAAGCTAGGTCTCTAAACATGATTAGTTATATTATAAAATAATATATAAATACAGAATATATATACTTATGTATATCTTATACCTAATACTATGATGTTTGGATTGGCAAGGTATATTAAGAGTTTGGATGGGTTATTTTTGGCGGTTAAGATTTAAATTTCGTTTATCTATGCTATACATGCTATAAAGCTCGGTCTCTAAGCCTGAATCATTATTTTATATTATATTATATTTGTATTATATTATATTTATATAAATTCTTTGTTGTTTGGACCTGAAGGTTTATAAATTTCTGTGCAGTTAGGATGGGTTTCCTTTTGGCGGTCATGATTTAAATTGCGGTTATCCAAAAAGCTCGGTCTCTGTTAACCTGATCTTGGCTTGGGGGATTGGTTTTGGCCAGTAATGTTAGGGGAGCTTTTCTGTTAGGGGCCCATTAGGGGCTCTCTCGGCTGGCGCATGCTCTCCCACATGTTGGACTTATTTTCTGACGGTGCTCACCTAGAAGCGGAAGATGCCATTCAAAGTTCTGCTTCCCATGTGAACGGTGGTGTTTTCCATATCCGCGTTTCGATCGTCTGCACCTATTCCTTTCGCTACGCAGAAGATTTTTTACCAAGAAAAGAAGAAAAACTCAGCAGGCTCAGCATTTTTTCACTGACTTCAAGGAACTAATTAAAACTTGGAAGAGATTTTGTAAGTCTGGGTTATACATAAATGAAAAAAGCGAATCGCCAGCAATTGTGTTGAATGAGAAATCCTTCTTATCAGTGTGCAATAAGCTAATTGATTAATCAGGCGTTAATCTGTTTATATTTGATTTAAATCAGCTCAATTGAAAGTGCTGATTTTATTAAATGAGAGTGAAAGTGCGTTCTAATTGAGTGTGAAATTTGCCCATTTACTTTGCCCCTCGTAAAAAAAAAAAGTGTACATTTTAATATAGCGGAAATGTCAATTGAAAAATTCGCATGATTGCGAATAATAATTTTCGCAAGACCCAGAACTGTGTGTTGAATTATTAATGATAGATGGAAATTTTGTATACAAAACTGGGGGTAACGAAAGCACGGCCCAAAAGTTAACTGCATAAACAGTTTATTTTTATATGCCAGAGGACAGCTGCAAGTTCAAGTGTACAAAACTCGTAACCCCCATGAAATTACATTACGCATGATACACACAGACACGAAGATATAAATATATATGTACGAAGGAATATGGGTATATATGGATGGGGTATATATGACGTGGTGTGCGAAAGCCCGTCGCTCAACACGTTCTAAAATATTAACTTAAAAGACAACAGCAAAAACAAAAAAAAAATACTCAACAATAATAACAGCTACCAAACAACGTGCTTATTACGAGAGTCCCGGAGAGGACTTACAAATATTGGAAGCGCTACAAAAGCAGCCCCCTCATCAAAAAGCTTTCTCTCTCCAGAGAGAGAATCTCTCTTTATCTCTCGAAAACACAGCTGATTTTGAGAATTTTGGCCTCAAATACCCCAACATAACCCCCGCAAACACCCTGAAACCTCATGAAACACCCACATACCATTTGTTTTTACAACAAGTGCCGCTCTTGGCGAAAAAAGTGTTTGCTGATGTTTGCCATGTTTTTGGCCATTTGAACTTGGCAACAGATAAGTGGGTCTTGGGTACTCACTCAAGGAGTGTGACCGCATTTCGGGGTCTTCTCTAGGTTGCTTGACCTTGACGACTACGAAATATATTTCTATTTAAAAATAAACAAACGAAATGACACGTTTTGAAACTTTCTCTGCGGACTGTCGTTTGATCAAGTGCTCAATTGTTAAGTACTTAAAAACTCATTTGGGAGCTGTCATTTGGGTTTTTAAAGTTAAAAATTATTTAACCGTTGTCTGTTTTGTATAGTTCTTTAACTATTCCATAAAGTCTAGTATATATAACATAGTAAAGTCTAAAGGAGCTATAAATAAACATAAATATATGATAATTATGAGCTAAAAATGCACATTCATTAGCTTATGTTTTAGGCCTTGAATAATTGCCTACCTGATTTCTCTTCCAAGTTTTTTTTAGAGTCTTTTAAAAATATACCACTTTAAAAACAAATTTGTCACTTGTTTTGATTGATTGTTCATCAATGGAAGAGCTGACGTTAAGAGCAAAAGCCCTAAGGAGTAACTTTTAAAATTCAAATTGATTGTGTTACATGTTTAAAGGCGTTTTGACAGAACTGCTCAGTAATTAAAAACTTGAAACAATCAGGTTAAAAAGTTTTCGATAGTCACGCTAAATATTTAAAGACTTTCCACTTAGGTAAACAAAAAACCCACAACAAGTGTGTTCGAATATTTGGCTTTGAAATTTCAGCAATGGGAGAAGTGTGGAGTGTGTGGAGCTACATATATTATATAGTATGTGTAGTACTATAAAAGGCAGTCAAGTCAAGTGAAGATGCGTGTGGGGCTGTCATACTATGTGTGGTGATGGGTGTCTTGTTTGCTGTTCTCCACAAGAAACCCGAACTGAGGGGAGGGTAGTAAAAATAGACCATCAATGTTGGTTGCAGCTTTTACCGCCAAAGTAGTGTAAGGTAGTAAAACCTTGGAAGGGAAGTGCTAAAGGACTAACTACAGTCGGGCTTAGTAGGTTTGTTTAGATTTTATATTTTACTAAAGTGATACTAAGATTTATTCATAGGACATATATGGTGTTATCCAAGCAAGAAAATTTGAGGTAATTAAATTTCCCCCTTATGTTGATAATATCTGGTATTTTTTTTAGAACTAGTTTATGTTAAATTCTAAAACACTGTTGCAAGAAATAAATGTACACTAATATCTTATATATGTATTTCGTCTTTATAGTAGGATCCCCTGAATTATAAAAACTATCTAGGCAGTCTTAACTTTGACCCTAAAAATTGTTAAAGTTATAGAAAAATGTAAGATCCCAAGTAAATTAATACATTTCGCAAAGTGGTAAGGTACTTAAAAGCTATAAATTGTAAGTTCGAGTCAGGAAAGTTAACATGTTCTTATATCCCATCTTCTGAATAAATCAGCAAGTTTTATTACTTTTGCAGTTCGCTTGCATCCCACAACGAACCACCCGAAAATCAGTTGCTGGGCAACCTTTCCTCAACATCGGAGAAAGGGAGGAAAAGAAAGGAGGACCCACAGAACCTTACACGCAAGTGAGTAAATAACTGGCTGTAACTGGCAGCCGTTAGGTGAAATTATCAATTATGCAATTAAAAGGGGTGGAACTTGTGGCAGTTGGGTATCTCAGCTGAGAGTTATTAAAACTTTCGCCCGCTGCACTTATTGATCTAAATTAAATGCCAAGGTTACTAGAGTGGTATTAAAATAGTTGGGCAAGTGCTTTTAAAAGGCTAATTTTGATTCCTACAAACAAAACTATATAATAATATTACTAAAGTTTATTTATAAGGCCAACTTTGCAGCGTGTATAGAAACCATATGTGTTCGAGCTACACAAATATTTGGGAAATGCCCTTAATAATTTATTCCTGAGTTGCTGTTTGTGTTTCCGTTTTTCTCATTACACATTTCATTTCCGTTTTCCTCGGCCCAAAATGAAAATGTAAGAGGCCAATCAGACGTATACGTAATATGCTAATGAACTTTTGTGGCGATAAACCAAGAACATGCCCCAACCTTTTGGCCCAACTGTTGCAAAAGTAACTTTTTCGTATGTGAATATATGTGATTGTGTCCTGCTTAACTGGGCATATCCTTAGGTTTGTCGAAAAAAGAAGGCAAGCGAATTTCTGCTCACTTCACAGTCGACAGTCGGAGACTCGACCTTCCTTCAGCCTTCAGCCAATTGACCCTTAACCCTTGCCTTAGAGTGTCTCTCACCCTCCAGAAATTTACCTTGCCGAGAAGTCAAGGCCATTAGACACACAAACACACTCATTCGTATTGCATGCCTGATTTCACCAATTGATTTCTTGCATTTGTTTTTTCCTTCCGACTTTTACTTTTCACTTGTCTGCTCATCCCGATCCAAATCCTTGGAAAAATCTCAGAACGAGTGGCAATATTAAGTACCTGAAAATGCTTAAACATTATTCAGCATCCCTTTTTCCAGCAGGTTGGTTCAAAAAGGGTCGCCCTTGAGCAGATTATTCCCATTTTCAGATCCCACTTCAACTGTTGCATATTCGTAAATCAGAGCTGTCAGGTCCTTCTGCATTTTTCATTTCGCTCTGATTTCAGTTTTCGAATAAATACCCTTTCAATATGGGTTTTAGATTTTTTGCTTTGGTTTCGGTTTTACGAAGAACAATAAAAAGTATATTAAAGTATTTTTAAGGATGTTCTGAACTAATACAACAGAAATAAATACTTTAATACTAGTTTTATTAGAAGATATATGACAAACTAAAATACCATAGTTCATTTTTAGTTTATAATCTCGAAATGCTCATCAGAGGTATATTTACATATTTTAACTATCTTTATAGAGCCCACACTATTATTATTATTTTTTTTTTTGAGTCTGCTTAGATACCAGTTTTAGTCCATTGAAAATATAGGGTTATAAACCATATCAACTTAAAACTTATAAGACAAACGTTAGATCCCAATGAATCAATAATTTTTCTTTGGAAGTAAACCGAAAAAATGATATAGTATATACCTATAATCTTATCTTATAAATCGTCATACTTTTCAAATATAGGGATACAAACCATATTAACCTAGAAGTAAGAAACTGAGTAGACAATCGTAACCTTCCTTAAAATCAATAATTCTCCCTTCAAATGTAAGTCTAAAAAAACAAATAAAATTCTGTGAGGGTGTCTGCAACTTTGCTTACCGAAGTTCGACCAAATATTTATGGTTTTTGTTTGGTCTGCGCAAATTCCGAAATGAGATTTTGCGGTTGCCACTTTGTATTCCGTTGAATTTCACCGAACATTTTCTGCATGAACGCTTGATGAGCATATTTAATGCAGTTTGAAATGCGGTTCCAGGGTAAACAGCACTTAGCTAAAATATGAAATTAATTATGTTCGGGTCAGGGGATTCAATTAAAGTGGAATTCTGGCCGAAACAAAACAAAACATTGGCATTGACATGGGAAAATAAACAGTGTACATAACTCGATATGGTGGGAATATTAATTAAGGCAATAAATAAAACAAAGTGTGGTCGGTATAATTTGATAGTCTACTGATTGGCTTCAATTGTTTGGTTTTCGTTACCAACTGTAGCCAGTTAAAGCTGGATACTTTTTGCCGGTCACGTTTGGCCCCAAAGAAGGTTATTTGAAAATTGCAGTCATCCATTCAGGATGTCATTTCATCCATTTCTGCCATTTCTGCGCATTTCCTGGCCCCCAATTGCAATTCATTTCCCGTGTCCTGGCCAAATACACAGCTTAACTTTGGCCATCGGCTTAATGTACGACCTGAAGATGATGTTCAACCAGCCATCAAACATATTTGACCTTGTTCCCCTCGGCCAACGTGGCGTATGAGTGTTGTTTAGATGACACTTTGTTGATTTCTGCTTGTTGCTTTCATTATCAATGTCAATGCGCCCCAATGAGTTCTTTAGTTAGAGATACAGTGTATTTGTGAGATACTTTTCCGCTCAATCTCTCTCTTCTGTTCTATCGCCGATTGCTTTTGTTTCACCCTGAGTTAATGGGGCATTTCGCAGACTAGACTGGGCGATATAAGAGCAAATAATAAAGTGGTCCCCATCTGTAGGTCATGAGCAAATTCCACTTTGTTGCAAAATTGTATTTCCTTCTGAGCTATTTATTTACTTTCTCACTTTGCACTTTTATGCTCTCAGCCTTATCATTGTTTTGTTTATTTTTATATATATTTTTGCATCGAAGAATATTCATTTTGCTTTTGAGCAATCGCATTTGTGGTTTGCACTTCAAGTGGTGCGGTACTTGTTTTGTTTTTATTTTCAGCGCGAAAATTACGACATTTTTTCTCACCTTTTTATTGTGTTATTAATTGATTTAAAATGCGTGTGAGCCGCTTTCGATGTTTGCAAGGCGTTTTGTAAGTTGTCTCAAAAGCTATGCATAAATATTTTCTCGATCTGATAGCTCAGCTAATTGTTCGCCTTATTCTGCCTTGTTTCGGATACAAAAGTGTAAAAAATCGCAGCTGAAGAAATAATGCAATACAATTTACACGTACGTGATGTTTATAAATACACCCTTTTGCATATCAATAAGATACAAAGCAGCCTTTAGAATATATTTTTTATCGATAAATTTTCTTGAAAAATATTTTTCCGATAATGTTTGGATAATTTTGTTCTTTTTTTGTTGTTATACTCATAAGCAGGTTGCTATACAAAAATATTTACCAATTTAGTTGGAAGAGATTTCTGTCGCGTTCCAATGTAATTGATTTGTTTTGTAATCTTTTTAAAAGGATTTGTTAGAATCATTAGAATCAATCAATTTCTAGTCATGTTAAATTAAATTACCATTAAACCTAAGACAATACTTAGTATAACCTACGCTTTGATAACAAATTTACCAGTCTCATTATAATCTGTGCTAACGAATTGGGTTTTCAATCATATATTATTGGGCTTAAAATATTTTTTACAAATTTTATAAATATATATTTAGATTTCTTTTCTTGGAAGATGATAATATTTTACTGTATATACAGGTGCCATATTATTATTTTAAATACTTTTTTAAAAGCTTAAATAAATTTTTTATCAGTTTTTTATTGAGAAATCGATAAGTTTTCTTATTAGTAGGCGCCTTTTATCACAATTTATTATTTTTAACTAGCTGATCAATCAGATCCTGAAAAGGAACCATTAAGCTTACCTCTCAAGTGGAGTCTATCACCAATCTCTTGTGTGCCATTTCCATTTCGATCTTCCCCAATCAAGCAGCGTCTGTAGGATGAGCAATGCGGGAATCGACGGCGGAGGAGGAGGAGGAGGAGGAGGAGCTTCAGGATCCGGTTCCGGATCAGGAGTGCCGCCCACAACGCCACCACCCACTGGCCATGGATCCACTCGCCGCCTGAGCCACTTGACGGGCGGCAGCCGTTCGGGAGGAGCCGCCGCCATGGGCAATGTGGTGGGCTGGCTGAAGCAGGTTCTGTCCACACCCAAATCAAAAAAAAAAAATCAAAAAATGTGATCCGTATTGATGTGAACTACCTCCTAGCACACACACGACACACAGTGTATTACACCCCCCAGAAAAATATACCTGCACCCCCTAAGCTTTTGTGTTGCATCCACCCGCCTGATTCTTCTGTTGCCCCTGAAGTCCTTCGATGTGGTCAATCCAATATATCTTCAAGAGATCATGGTTACTTACTGAATGCTTATCCATCTCTTGCAGGCCTCCATTGAAGTGCGAGACGCCGGCACAAGGACTTTGTCCATGCTGCAAAGCAGCAATCCCAACTTTCGATCCCTGGACCTTTCACTGGGCACGCCCACACCCACCACGCCCACCTCCAGCGAAGTTCCAGCTGCTCCGGCCAGTGCCACCGCCTCACTGAGTGGTTCCACATTGCAATTTGGACCGGAGGATCCCGAGGAAGGATTCCCCACCGCCGCCACTGGAGGAGGAGGAGGCGGAAGTCAATCGTTGACGCCACTGGATGCCAGGGAAGTCCTGACGAGACCCACTCGAGCCTACGCCTCCGTCAGTCAGCCCCAGAGTCCCCGGCATCGAGGATCGGGTTCGGGATCCGTTTCCGGTTCACGTATAATCACACAAGGCCTCACTGGCCGCTCCACATCGATATCCTCGCAGCTGGAGAAGACCAAGAAGCTGCTCAAAATGACCGAGGGCGAGGACAAGCCCCTGACCATTCTGCACTACAACGATGTCTACAATATCGAGTCCATGGCGGAAACGGAACCCGTGGGCGGAGCAGCCCGATTTGCCACGGCCATCAAGAGTTTTGCCCATCTGAATCCTTTGGTGCTCTTCAGCGGCGATGCCTTCTCGCCCAGCATGTGTTAGTATTGGATATGAATGTTTATAGATTTAAATTACTTAATAAATATTTTGTTATTCATTACAGTGAGCACCTTTACCCAGGGCGAACAAATGATTCCTGTCCTCAATACGGTGGGAACCCACTGTGCCGTCTTTGGCAATCACGATTTTGGTAAGTCACCATTACGAACACTTACGTTCGTACTTAAAATATTATATTGAAAAAAACATAATATATTGGTTATATTAACCTGCCTGTTAAACTACAAGAAGGTTATACAATCGACGTCATAAAATTAAGTGTTGCTTGATCAAATTAAATAGAAAACATTAAAATTTCATGATTTAATGTAATAATATTTGAATTCAGGTAAAAAATTTTACTTACAATACTTATTGCCCGCATGTTAAACTAAATTCCAAACGATTTGTAGAATTAAAATCAAGTTTATCATGTGGATTTTTTAAGCTCTACATTTCCATACATTTTCTAAGTTTAAAGCCTACTTTTAGTTTAACACGTGGATGAAAAACATCCATTATTATGTTATGAAGCAACATAAAATCATAGTTTAAAGTCCTTAAAATACATATAACTGATAAATTGTATATTTTCTTACCGATTATCGCTATAAATATAAACGCTACTTTAAGTTTAACATGCGGATGGGAAAACGGCCAATATTCAATGTAATTTTAACATAACCGCTTAATTTAATATTTCCCTACCCATTTCCTTTTCAGATCACGGCTTGGATGTGCTGGTGAAGCTGATCAAGCAGACGGACTTCCCCTGGCTTATGTCCAATGTGGTGGACAACGAGACCGGTCGTCCCTTGGGCGGAGGCAAGATCTCGCACTTTATTCTGCACAACCAGATATCCATTGGGCTGATTGGCCTGGTGGAGCGGGAGTGGCTGGAGACCCTGCCGACCATCGATCCCAACGAGGTGACCTACATCGACTACGTGGAGGCGGGCAACAAGCTGGCCCGCGAGCTGAGGAACGAGGGCTGTGACCTCATCATCGCCCTCACCCACATGCGCACCCCCAACGACATAAATCTAGCCGAGAAGTGCAATGGTATAGACATCATCCTCGGTGGCCATGATCATGTTCGCGAGGTGACCGAAATAAATGGCAAGATGATCGTCAAGTCGGGCACGGACTTCCAGCAGTTCTCGGTGATCACCATCGAACGGGATGCCGCCAACAGGGAGCACTTCACCACGGACGTCAAGTGCTTCGATGTGACGGCCAAAATTCCAGAGGATCCGGAACTGAAGCAGGAACTCTCCAAATATGCCAGTAAGTGGGCAGAACGAACAATAGATTATCACTCGAACTATTTTTAAATTTAATCTAGGTGCCACAGAAAACTCTAGATAAGATATCTATTTTTTATATATTTATCTTTACTTCAATGGAATACTTTCTATATCTAGCTGTTTACAAACTTACCTCTAGGTATAAACATTTGATCTCTTAAAAAGATATGGAAAGTAGATACAAATTTGTATGCTTTGATCCCAAAAGTTTTAATCGAACATTTTTTTTGGCAACCTTATCACCGATAAAACCCTTTCTTAAAAACTGAATTATTTTTACAACAACTCTAAAATATCGAGCTACGAAATGTCTTTGTTACATGAGTATTAAATAAGTAATTTCGAAAGTATTAAAGTAAATCTTTAGAAATTATTATTTTAAAATTTATGAGTATGCCAAAACATTATAACAGGTATTTATTAGTGCAATAATACACTAAAGTACAGACTTTAGGGCTACTTCTTTGTACTACCTCTGAATATTTTTCGAGGCTACTTATGTACATTTTTTTTTTGGGCTAACAAAATTTAAATCGATATTTAATATATCTTTCCTCTTCCAGAGTTTATCGAGAGCAAGCTGTCGGATGTGATGGGCGTGTTCAGCGTTGAGTTGGATGGCCGATTTTCCCGAGTGCGAACCCAGGAGACAAATCTGGGCAACTGGGTATGCGACGTGGTGCTGGCCGCCGTCGGTGCTGATGTGGTCATCCTGAATGGCGGCACTTTCCGCTCGGATCGCGTGCATCCAGTGGGTGCCTTCACCATGGGCGATCTGGTCAATGTAATACCCATGCGGGATCCACTGATCCTGCTCGAGGTCAAGGGTCAGGTACTGTGGAAGGCCCTGGAGAACGGAGTATCCGCCTATCCAAAGCTGGAGGGTCGATTTCCGCAAGTGTCGGGCATCAGTTTCGCCTTCAATCCACAGGCAGAGCCCGGTAAACGTATCGATCCGCAGCTTATCCAGGTGGGCGATGAGTACCTGAACCTGGAGCAGACCTACAAGCTGTGCGTCAAGAGCTACATCTTTATGGGCTGCGATGGCTATACCATGTTCAAGGATGCCACTGTGCTGGTGAGTCCTATTTTCATTTTAAGTTGATACTTATATATTATTGTTAATTCTGACCCTAAAAGTATTCTTGATCCTTAAGTATCCTTAAAAATTATATTATATAAGTCTTTTAAAGATATCTTTAAAGGAATATCAAATAATGTTCTCGATAACAAAGTGGTTTAATCTTCCTATGTAGTAGATTTAAAAACATGGTAGATAGTATATTTGTTTTGGAAAAGTAGACTAAATTCTGACCTTCAAAAAACTTTTGATCTCCTAATGTTCTTAAAAAATCTTATTTCAAAATCGGTTAAAAGATATTTTTAAAGATAAGGTAGATAATGTATTTGTTTAACAAAAATCTACTAAGACAACTATAAAAACATATAATGTTCTTGATTAAAAACAAAATATAGTATTTCAGTATCATATTAGTATATTGCAACTTTTATATGATCTTGTTTTAATGATACCCCTCCTCCATTTCAGATGGATGATGATGCCTGTCCAGAGTTGGGGATCACACTGCAGAACCACTTCAAGGCCATAAATTCTCGAAAGTGTGGCCAGAACACAAAGCATCGACAGTCCCTGGTCACACTTTCCCGGAGGCACAGCTTGGTCCAGTGCCTGGATAGTATGGATCTGGACGGACCATCACCCATCCGCAAATTGTCCGTGGGTCATCACAACAAGTCGATGGATTTGACGCACGGCAATTCCCAGAAGGTATGTAAAAATGGGTAAAACTAATATTTGGTTCCAATTTTACTGGTTCTATCCTGAAAAGATGCTAAGACGAGCTTCCTTGGACGACCTGGAGCAGTCCACCTGCGATTTGGCGCCACAATTGGAGCACCGTATCGTTATGATACAAAACGAGGAGGTGGGATAAATGACAATTATTGGGTTGGACTTATTGTTAAGCCAAGTTTAAATTTATCCCACAGCATTATCGACAGCTACTGTTCAAAAAGGATGCGCACATCATGAATTCCACAATCACCGAGGCTGAGGACGAGTAAAGAACTACCGAAAGCCACTTAATTCACAATTTGCATTTAATTTTTTGTATTTTTTATTTCTTTTTCGTTTTTTTCTAGTTACAAAAAGAGTAGACAACTTGATTTAAGGACAGATTCCGATGTGGAGAAAAATATTTGAATAGGGTTTAGGCACAAAAGCAAAGCGAAGATGTACCCATTAGGTAGTTAGTTAGTTGACAGATCTGTGGGATCGAGTCCTATATCTATTACCGTTTATTGTTACCGCTCCTCCGTTCTATTTTCGGCCAAGTTTCGTTGTAAACGTTTGTAAGACTTCCGCCCCCCGAGATGTATGAACCATGAACTTGATATTGATATTGTATATGATGTATGTGACTGTAGTGAGTACGTGTACCTAAAGCTTACCGCTAGTTTAATTTAATTTTAGTTAGATACAACTGATTTACACAACCAACTGATTATTATACTGTAATTACTGAGCAGCCCTTATGTTTTGTGATCTAGAGTTTGAGCCAAGCTTTGAGATATTACCCTAGATATTCCACATAGTTGATTTTATAAATCCAGAGTCCACAAACGCAATCAAACACTATAGGTTGTATGCAAAAAATCGAAAAAAACACTGGACGACGACAAGGAGGACTAACAAACTCAAGAGCCAAGCAGATGTAAAGTGAATGTAAAGCAATATTTTAGACAATGCACCTAACATTTTGAATGTCAAACAAAATGGGATACGTATATTTTTATGGACACTTTTGGAGCGCTTAAACACAGCCGAGCAGCATATATTATTTTTTAGAGAACGTGCTAAAACTCATGGATAAACGCTTTAATCTAAAATAGTTCCTTGAACTTTTGCACACCACCAGAAAACACACACAAGACGACGATGCTACAAAAGCCAGAGTGTTTATTTGTCCATAGGAATAGCAATCTGATTGCAAAACTGACGACCAACCGGAAATCAGAAACAAAAGCTAAGTAACAAAAGGCAAACAAAGCTACCCACGCAATTACACAAAGTTAAACAATAAGTAGAGGAAGCCACATATATATGTACTCCGTGCTTAACTGATTGTCCATGCTTAGAACGTACAGTTAACTAAAGTGAACAATATACAGGCTCAGAATGCACCTGATTATTACAATTATAAAGGACCCATATATAGTATATATATATAGATATCGTACATCTTTCAACACTTTCAACGACCTTCAACACTTTCAAACTACTTTGCAATGGGCCATTAGCCCGTAGAAGAACGCATTTTGTGTATATTGAACAAAGTACATTGATTTATGTAAACATTTATTAAATACATAAACTATATGTAAATGGGGACAATGTTTTAATTTAATTGGCGGAAGCACATTGGTTAGTCAGCAGCGGGTCACTAAAGTGTTTGGTTAATACTTCAAATAGGGGTAAGTTAAACTTCTAGGTCGTTTGTGTTTTTTTAAAGGACTCCTCAGTAGAACTGCAACACCAAGGTCTTTATGGCACTGGCAATGTGGAAGGCGCAGTCGCGCACCTCCAAGGTGTTCTTCTGTATGGCCTGCTTGTCATCCGCCTCGATGGCCTTCTGCAGATTCTCGCACTCGTGCTGGATGAGTATGTTCTGGCGGGTGAGCAGCTTGAGGGTCTCGCGCGTGGGGTCGCTGGCATTCGGTGGCTAAAATTTATAGTAATATTTATAAGGCAACCATAAATATTGTCATAATAAGGAGTGTCACAGAAATCTCTTCCAACCAAATTCCCCATGGAAAGTAAATCTGGGTGTGACAGAAACCGGTTCAAAAAAAAGTAAACACATTAAAACAAACAAATAGTAGGCTTTGAAAAGAATTTGCATAATCAGACCAAATTTACACCAAAACAAAAGATAATATATGCTATCTTAATATATTCCTGAAATCAGACAAATTAAAAGCATGCAAATAAGTTGCTTTGGAAAAATTTTCCTTACTCCAGAACCTAAGATAATATAGAATCTCCGATGAACAAGGCTCGTGCCACGGGATGAACAAGAACATTTTTAACATTTCGATCTTCTTGGTGTGCTATGTCTGTTTTAGATTCTATGGATGTTTTAGCACATAATTTCGTATTCTAGTTTGCAAAATAGGCTCAATGTCACATCTGACTAACGTGCCGAAACAATGACCAGTGGTCTAGGGGTCTAGACAGTTAACTACGGAACTTGTTGGACCGGATTTTGGTATTTTATAGTCTTTGCCGAAACTATAGATTCTGTGACACCGGGGGCTTGGTTAGTTGGTTGCCAAGCCAACCGTCCCATATACGCTTGTATAATATAATGTACTTTGCATACAAAGAGGTGTCGCAAAAATCTTTAATTTATGCGGACAGTTTCATAAATCTCTAATTTGTTTACTGGTATAGTTTAATTTTAGAAAAGATTTTTGCATAATCCCCAAGTTTATGTCAGTTAATCTTACCAAATTAGCATATAGAGAAATTAAATCAGTCACGGCGTTGCGGATGAACTCTCCATGTGGGGCAATCGATTGCTTCTGATCCTCCGGCACTGGCTGCATGGCCCTAATGAGCTCCTTCAGGCAGCGAGTGACCAAATCAGAGCGCACTTTGACCTCCTCACCGAAAGGCTTGCCATCGCCAGCCATTTGGTACATACTGGTGGTATTCCGAATATCCGTATGACCCTTGGCCACGTTGGGCACCAGACGACGTTCGTACATGCTGGCTGGCCGCTTGATTGTTGACTGATTTGAGGAGTCATTCGAGGAGCCACTCTCCGCATTGGTAGTACCACCTTCAGGCAGCGACAAAGGCTCATGCTCCGTATCGGGACTACTCAGGCTCAAATCAATGCGGCTAATTCAAAAGAAATTAAAATGAAATCATAAAATAAAAAGAAGTTAAGAAAATGCAAATGAAAATCCTCACAGTGGCTCATCGTAGACGCTGTTGTTGGAGGCACTCGAGAACTTGGACTTGAGTTGCGAGTTCTCGCTGGACAGCATCTGCACCACGTTCTTCAGCTGATTGATCTCCGACTTGTAGTCGCTGAGCTGTTTGCGCAGCGTTTCCATTTCGTTGTGCGAATTCGCATTGCGCGGTGGCGTATGCACAATGGCCTAAGCAAAATAAATAATAATAAAAAAATCAATAAAATAAGTAAAACTAAATATATACAAACTATAAAATATAAATGCAGATTAAACAAAAGGAAAGCAGACAAATCACAGGACAACTACTCGTATTCAAACTACAAACTTTCACAATTATCAGCTAGTTTTATTGAGGCTTATGGTCTACATTTGGATCTCTACCATTGGGAATCGACTGGATTGCCTAAAATCAGGGTGCTATAATGCCCTGGCCTACGGATGAACACAATGGGTACAGCACGGGGTATCTAAGTGTCAGTCTTGGCTTACGCTTCTAGCCGAAGCTATTGTTCAGCTTGAGTATCTTTTGCCGCATTAGGTTTACCTGCTGGGCCATTGGCGGCACTGGCGCATAGTCATCATCGCTGGCCACCGGATCGTAGATGGGCTCGTCGTCCGACAGATTCGGATCGTGACCGCCCTGATCAAACATTGAGTTGTTGGCATACGGCAGCGATTGCAGTGACTGATGCCCCGGCAATGGGGCATCCAATGGACGCAGATTGGCCATATTCTGCCGTCTCATGGCGTCGACAAGCACATCGGTCAACAGACCAGTGAACTCGGCGCGATTGAAACGTGCCAATTTCTGACGACCCTGTGGCGAAAACATGTCAATGAATAAAGATTTGATTCATTCGTGGACAGCAAGGTCAAACCTGATTGCGCGTGGCGCTCAAAAATGGATTAGCCGGTAAAAATGGCACAGTTGCATGATCAGCATTCAGGGTACTCGTCGACCAGACTGAAATTTTATAAAAATATTGTTAGTTTTATTTAAAGAAATATGTTTTTTTGTAAATACTACTCACTGGCTTCGCACTCGCGTCTGTCGACCTCATCGTAAAGGTCCATGACCAGCTCTTCGAACATCTTATTTGGCACGAGTTGCAGCTTTCCACGGGCAATCTTCAGCTGCTCGCTTATGTCGGCGCCATTGGCATCCGGTATAATCATATGGCGGCCACTCTGTGGTGAAGAAATCCGTAAAATATGATTTAGTTAGCGATTAAGATGAGTAAATGGATAAAGTCAAAGCCTCTTTAATAATCGCTCATTAGTTTATGGCTCCATATATCAAAGTCAGAAATTATTTTCCTTTTATGAGTCATGCAACGCAATAAAGACAGCGAAAATAATGGTTTTTGACACTAATGTATGAAATTGTAAGGGTTTTCCATTAAGTTAAACTACCAGTAGGCCAAATTATTCAAGTTATAAGGATCTTAGTTCGATTTAATGTGATTGCTTTCTTAAAGCAAAAAGTACTCAAGATTGGGACAGCATAAAAAAAGGATCTAAGGATCTAAATAATATCGAAAGTATAGCTTTCTTAAAAAGCGTAGTGTGTACATAATCTGTATAACATATTCATATTGATGATTTTATAACTCACAAGATTATTAGAGATTTTAGCTGAGCTATATGAACTACTAGATGAGCTACACATGCTTAATGAATCACAGATAGTTTTGAAGGGCTCCTCAAAGCAAAGAAAACTCCAGCCTGGTAGATCTCACGCATAAAAAGGTCCTATACCTGATAGATCCCTTTACTCACCGCATGATCTGGCTTCTTGCCGCCCAAGAAGGTGATGATCCTGTCCGTAACATCGTACATGGCCTCCAGCAGTCTCTCGGCGATGGTATTGTGATTGTTGGCCCTGGCCAGCTCCAGCGGAGTCATGCCATTGCCATCCAAGGCGTTCACATCGGCGCCATAGATGAGCAGCATCTCGATCTGCGATGCCTGGCCAAACTTGGCTGCCATGTGCAGTGGCGTGGATAGCTTATCCTCGTGATAGTAATTGGGATCTGCGCCCTGGACCAAGAAGCGTAGGGAGGTCTCCAGATTGCTGGTCCTCACGCTGGCATGGAGTTGACGACTCAGTTCTTGCTCCAGACTGCCCACAGAACCATTACCATCATCATCATCTTGCAGACTGGGCTTTAGCACAAATGTAAGGTTGACATGCTTGGCCTTGATGAAATCGGATTTGGTGGGATGCAGTGCATCCTTGGGCGAGGGCTTACGCCAGCGGGGCAAGTGTTTGCCCCCCGCCGAACCACTACTGCCATCCAGCAGATGGTGCTCCCAAACGCTATTCGCTCCATGGGCATTCAGGGAGTTGACAAAGTTCAAGACCGATGGTTCCCAGTTTCCCTGGCGCAGTGATTTCACTATTGAGATGTGCCTGCCCAAGCTGCGATGCACGGAGCAGCAGTCGGCGCAGAGGAGGATCCCACGATTGATGCTCGCCCAGGAGGGATCACCAGCTCCACAATCGCCGCAGACTTCGGTCTGCAGGCGGGATTTCCCCCTCGGC